CCACTGCCTCCTTGCATTTTGTTGTTACATATTCCATCATTTCATATACTGGCTTTCCTGCCAGTTCTGTGTGTGTGTGTGTGTGTGTGTGTGTGTGTGTGTGTGTGTGTGTGTGTGTGTGTGTGTGTGTGTGTGTGTGTACTGTTATACACACAGTTACATTCCTAGTGGTGAATATGTAATATGAATAATATTTTTACCGTTACGTAGATAATGACATTACCTGTATTCCGAAAAAAATTAATGTAACATTCTGATGACGATGTGTCCTGTGTTCTGAACAAAGTTAATCCAATATCTGCTGATTTCTTTACGAGATCGTTGTCAGTATTGTCTGCGCTGATGTTTATGCGCAGAATAATCGGTAAAGCAGATTCTAAAAACAAATTTCTCTTTCACACATTGGACATTAAAGTTCCCCTTAGAGGGAATGGGGTGAGAGGAAAGGGAAAGCCAGACACACTTCAAAAACACGAACAGAGGACAGACACAGAGTATCTTTTGGTGCGACAAGATGATAAAACTCCATCAGATGACTAGAGAACATCCTCACGGTGATCACTTGGCTCTGAGAAGCTGCGGTCGTTGATGCTTCTCGCTTCACACTGGAGTGAGGCTTCATTCACTCAATGGTTTGTGCTTGCTTCACACATCAGGTGTGAGGATTCACTCACCAGGTGTGAGGAATCACTCACCAGGTGTGAGGCTTCTCTCATCAGGTGTGAGGTTTCACACACTAGGTGTGAAGCTTCACTCAGTGGTTCATCCATGCTTCACACATCAGGTGTGAGGATTCACTCACTCAGTGAAACACACAAGGTTTCACTCAGTAAAACATACAAGGCTTCACTCAGTGAAACACACAAGGCTTCACTCAGTGAAACACGCAAGGCTTCACTCAGTGAAACACACAAGGCTTCACTCAGTGAAACACGCAAGGCTTCACTCAACGAAACAACCGAGGCTTCCCAGGTCAACCCTTCAAGGAGGAGAGGCGCCTTGTTGCTCATGGAAACCTCTTCATTTCCTCAGATCAAACCAGATGACCCTCCAACAAGCTTGCCTCTTTCCAGACTGCACAAATAATAATAATAATAATAATAATAATAATAATAATAATAATAATAATAATAATAATAATAATAATAATAATAATAATAATAATAAGCATTATAAATCTAGGTGAATACGGCAATAAAACCTGAATTACTGTACAGAATTATTAACATGTTAAATAAAACATGGGTATAGGTGAACAACGTGTTTATATTTCTCGTGTGTTGTCCAAGGGTCAACAAAGCTGCCACTGTTTTTGACACTGTGTTTGGTACAACCTTCCATCCATCACACACAAACGCACCCCGTACGCAACTACATATATATGCATGCATATATATATATATATATATATATATATATATATATATATAATATATATATATATATATATATATATAATATAATATAATATATATATATATATATATATATATATACCTGGAGTTTACCTGGAGAGAGTTCCTGGGGTCAACGCCCCCGCGGCCCGGTCTGTGACCAGTGTCTGCAATGGAAGACCGCCATGCAGATTCGGGCGTCATCTGAAAAGGAAGACCGGTGCTGGGCGACATCCTTTCTATATCAGATAGAGGAGAAAACAAATGGACGAGTACTGTCCCTTTGCGAACGAGTTTTTCACCGTAGCCGCCTCAGACTTTACTCTGTTGACTACTACTCTTTGTATTCTGTTTGTGAGGAAATTATAGATCCATCTACCAACTTTTCTTGTTATTCCGTGAACCATTCATCTACAATGTGTGTGTGTGTGTCGTGTGTGTGTACTCACCTATTTGTACTCACCTATTTGTGGTTGCAGGGGTCGAGTCTTAGCTCCTGGCCTCGCCTCTTCACCGGTTGCTACTGGGCCCTCTCTCTCCCCGCTCCATGAGCTTTATCAAACCTCGTCTTAAAACTGTGTATGGTTCCTGCCTCCACTACGTCATTTTCTAGGCTATTCCACTGCCTTACAACTCTATGACTGAAGAAATACTTCCTAATATCTCTCTGACTCATTTGTGTCTTCAACTTCCAATTGTGGCCTCTTGTTTCTGTGTCCCCTCCCTGGAACATCCTGTCTTTGTCCACCTTGTCTATTCCATGCAGTATTTTATATGTCGTTATCATGTCTCCCCTGACCCTCCTGTCCTCCAGTGTCGTCAGGCCGATTTCCCTTAATATTTCTTCATAGGACATTCCCTTAGCTCTGGAACTAACCTTGTCGCAGACCTTTGTACTTTCTCTAGTTTCTTGACGTGCTTTATCAAGTGCGGGTTCCAAACAGGTGCTGCATACTCCAGTATGGGCCTGACATACACGGTGTACAGTGTCTTGAACGATTCCTTACTAAGGTATCGGAATGCTATTCTCAGGTTTACCAGGCGCCCATATGCTGCAGCAGTTATCTGATTGATGTGTGCTTCCGGAGACATGCTCAGTGTTATACTCACCCCATGATCTTTCTCCTTGAGTGAGGTTTGCAGTCTTTGGCCACCTAACCTATACTCTGTCTGTGGTCTTCTGTGCCCTTCCCCTATCTTCATGACTTTGCATTTGGCAGGATTAAATTCGAGAAGCCATTTGCTGGACCAGGTGTCAAATCTGTCCAGGTCTCTTTGAAGTCCTGCCTGGTCCTCATCAGATTTAATTCTCCTCATTAACTTCACATCATCTGCAAACAGGGACACTTCTGTGTCTAACCCTTCCATCATGTCGTTCACATATACCAAAAATAGCACTGGTCCTAGGACCGACCCCTGTGGGACCCCGTTCGTCACAGGTGCCCACTGTGATACATCATTACGTACCATGACTCGTTGTTGCCTCCCTGTCAGGTATTCTCTGATCCATTGCAGTGACCTTCCTGTTATATGCGCCTGATGCTCTAGCTTCTGCATTAATCTCTTGTGAGGAACTGTGTCAAAGGCCTTCTTGCAGTCCAAGAATATGCAGTCAACCCACCCCTCTCTCTCGTGTCTTCTGTTATTTTATCATAAAACTCCTGAAGGTTTGTGACACAGGATTTGCCTTCCATGAATCCGTGCTGGTTGGCATTTATACTCTTGTTCCGTTACAGGTGCTCCACCACTCTCCTCCTGATAATCTTCTCCATAACTTTGCATACTATACACGTCAATGACACAGGTCTATAGTTTAGTGCCTCTTTTCTGTCTCCTTTTTTAAAAATGGGAACTACATTTGCCGTCTTCAATACCTCAGGTAGTTGCCCAGTTTCCAGGGACGTGTTGAAGATTGTTGTAAGTGGCACGCACAACATATCTGCTCCCTCTCTAAGGACCCACGGGGAGATGTTGTCCGGTCCCATTGCCTTTGAGGTATCGATGTCCCTTAGCAGTTTCTTCACCTCCTCCTCATCTGTATGTAGTCGTCCAACACTTGTTGGTGTATTCCTTGCTGTGTCCCCATCTGGTCTGTCCCCCCAGAGTCCTCCTGTCTCTACTGTAAATACTTCCTTAAATCTCGTGTTGAGCTCCTCACATACCTCTTGATCGTTTCTTGTGAGTTCTCCACCTTCTTTCCTCAGCCTTATCACCTGGTCCTTGACTGTTGTCTTCCTCCTAATGTGGCTATACAGCAGTTTCGGGTCAGATTTGACTTTCGATGCTATGTCGTTTTCATACTGTCGCTGGGCCTCCCTCCTTATCTGTGCATACTCGTTTCTGGCTCTGTGTGTGTGTGTGTGTGTGTGTGTGTGTGTGCGTGCGTGTGTGTGTGTGTGTTGTGTGTGTGTGTGTGTGTGTGTGTGGTG